CACACACACACACACACACACACACACACACACACACACACACACACACACACACAAGGCACTGCCAGATACTATAACCAGCACAGCACAGGCAGGCAAGTATTATATAGGTGCTCTTGGATGGGATCTATGTGATCCATAGTTAAGCACTATTTTATGTCTTTCTTAGTGTAGTAAATATAAAATCGCGAATTGTACAGCACTTTTGTGGATCTCACCAAGACTTTTGACACCATAAGTCATGAAGGCCTGTCTGAACCCAAATCTATCAGTTTGGGTGCCCTGATAGATTCATCCTGATGGCATATCAGTTCCATGATGGTATGATGGCTCTGGATGGCTCTGGATGACGGAAAAGGTTCAGAGGCCTTTTCCATCACAATGGCGTCAAGCAAGGGTGCGTGTTGGCGCCAATGCTGTTCAGTAGAATGTTTTCAGCCATGCTGTCAGACGCCTTCCAGAACAGTTCCTTGGGAGTTAGCCTGAGATACAGGACCTATGAAGATTCCAGGCTGTCCCCAAGATAAAGGAGACTGTGCTTTTTGCTGATGACTGTGCCCTGAATGCTGGATCAGAGCAGAAAATGCAAGCCAGTATGGACAAATTCGAAGCAACAGGTGACAACTTCGGCCTCCTTATCAACACAAAGAAAACCAAAGTGATGCAATAGCCAGCTTCGAAAGCCCAACACCAAGAACCCACCATCACAGTGAAGGGTCAAAAGCTGCAAGTAGTGGAACAATTTACATATCTTGGCAGAATGCTCTCCTATATGGTGACAATAGATGGTGAGGTCAACTGCAGAATCGCCAAAGCAAGCTCTGCATTTGGCTAAGTACTGGCCAACTGGTGGGATGGCCATGGAATAAGCGTTGCTATAAAGCTCAGAGTCTACCAAGCAGTAGTGCTAACTATCCTGATGTATGCCAGTGGAGACTTAGACTGTATACAAGAGGCACACTAGGCCACCCAATCACTTCCACATGACCTGCCTCCACAGACTTCTGAGGATCCGATGGCAGTACAAGATGCCAGACACAGAAATCCTCTTCAGAGCAGGTCTGCTATCACTTTACACCCTGCTGATGAAAGCCCAGACATGCTGGGCAGGCCATGTTGTAAGGATGCCAGACGATCGCATCCCCAAAGAGCTATGGTGAGCTTTCTCAAGGAAAGCAATTGCATGGGGGGTGGTGGTGGGGGACAAAGGAAGCAATACAAGGACATGCTAAAAACCTTTTTCAAATCCCTGGATATCGACACCATCTCCTGGGAAACCCTGGCACAAGATTGATGTGGATGGTTGGAAAACAATAAAATGAGAACTGGCTGTATGGAGAAATCTTTTTTAATTGAATAATGTTAGTGATTTTACATAGCTTACTGTTTTATGTCTGTCTTGCATATTGTGGGCAACAAAAGCATATACCGTGAAATAGAAAATTACAGTTGTACATTGGTATTCCTGAAACATGATGTCTTGATCTCCCAAGGGAATTTTTCAACAAAAGGTTTATGTTAATTGGTTTAGTACCGGCATATCTGAACCTGCAAAAAATTAATAATTATTCTCTCTCTCTCCTATATATAAATATTAAAAGTGTGCAGACAAGACTTCCTATTTCTGTGACTCCTCTGGCATGATTTGTTTTCAGATTCCTTCATGTTATGGAAAAACGATGACTAAAAGAAGATTAAACATCAAATAACATTGCTTTATAATTCTTTGCATTTTCTGTTATATTCAGCCAGTTTGCTTCTGTCATCTGATTTTGGATCTATGTTTTGCATTGTCTTATAGGATGTGAGAAGTATTTACATTTGAACATAGCCAGAAAGAGTGCAGATTACCACACTTAATTAAAATAATATCAGAAGGTGCTTTATGCAAGATTTTTCTAGGAAGGTCTTGGAAGAAATGAAAATTCTTCTCCAAGCAGTATAGTTCCTGCAGGCTGTTTAGTCAACAGTCCTGGCTCTATACAGTCACTCTTTTAAGATTATAATAGCCTGTTCTAATAGGCTGTATGTCTATGACTAATCCCTTCATTTATTAGGCTTTGGGGTAGAAAAAAGTCAGTACAACAAGCAGCAATACTAATTTTCCAAGAGGCAATCTTTTGTGAATCCCATGCTTTTAGTGGGCTTTGGTTTTTGGAAGTTAATTTTTTGTTACGTGAGCTCCGTATGCAAGAGTGAATATTGTATTCTTTGACATATTCATTGCTTGAGTAGGATGGTCTAGTATATTGACATAGCAGTTAAACTCACTGAAATGCTGTAAATTGGTTATAACTTCCTTAACAATTTTAAGTTGTAGGCAAGAGCAGAATGTAACTTCCATCAAGCAAAAAGCAAACTAAAGAACGCTCCTTTTTCTATTAACTGTCATCCTTTCATTTAAGTGTTAAATCTAATAATTTGTAATTAACAGCTTTGTTATATGCTATCAGTGCTCCTGGGAAAAGAAGGTACTGCTCAAATTCTGGTGCATTGTGAATTTTCTGAATGTAAATCAAAGGCAGTGCCTGCTGCGGATGGCAGCCTCAATAGAGAGAAAATGCAGCTCTAATCAAAGCTATTCCCCACCCCTTTTTCTTTCACTCCCTTGAGATTTTATTCATTTTTCTCTTTGTTGTTTATCTCCCTCTCCAAATTAAAGCCGGATGATGAAGCGACCACTGTTCAAGTGAAGGAACTGGACCAAGATGTGCTGGTGCTTAGGAGAGTGTTGTCACAAAGCCCAACCCCCACATCTGGGAGTGCCGAGAATGATTGGAGGTAAGAGTTTTTCCTTGGGTGCTCAGACTCAGCTGGAGTCATGCTGACGCAGACCTCTCGGCAGCTGGCTGAATTTGGTTGCTGGCAACCAAAGTGAGAGGGCAGCATTGAGGGAATGTCATTTTCATTTGTCGTACAGTATGGGAAGTTCGAGACTGAGGATCTTTGACCCTCACATAGAGAAGAAGGATTCTGCTTTGTTTCCAGGCAGAGAATTGCCTTTGCACACATTTGATGTGCCTTATTTTAAATACATTGATGAAGAAGATGAGGAAGATGAATGGAGCAGCCGTTCTCAGTCTTCAACAGAGGATGACTCTGTGGACTCTCTCCTTTCTGACAGATATGTTGTGGTGTCAGGGACACCAGAGAAGATTTTGGAGCATCTCCTGAATGACTTGCACCTGGAAGAAGTACAGGACAAAGACACAGGTACATTATAATAACATCATGCTCACGAAAAGCAGTTTCTCTGTATCCACTCGTGTTCTTAGCAGACACAGTTGATCAGCTACTATGCAAATATGTATAATATGGTATTTTTCCTAGCAGCATTTTATTTAAAAATATTAAATTTTACAATGTTTTGTATAGTGCTGTTTCAAATACATAGCATTCATAGTATCATCTTGTTATGCTAATATAGTTCATCATCTATATTTAACAGTAAAAACATTAAACTTGAAAATGAGGATTTTTTTAAAAAAAATGTCATTAACTTTCAGTAGCTATATATATCTTGATAGATAAAAGAAAACAATTTAGCAATGGGTGTGGGATAATGAGGCAATCAGAAGATAGCAAGCCGAGTTATATAGCTGTAGGGTTTATAAGTCAGCAATTATTTAAAGTACTCCAAAGCTACTTGTTTAGTTCCAACTATTTCTTAATTTTTTAGCATAAATAGCTTACCTACATCACATAATGTACAACAAAATAATCTCCTTTAGTAATTGGCTGCCTTCAGCTAAAGATTGTACTTTTGTTTCAGCCTGGAACAATTATTATATTGATCAGGTTGCTTGATGGGCAGGTTATTTTACAGCGTAATACTGTCACCAATGCTCTTTCGGTAGTTTATCAAGACCACCTACAATTTATTTACAGTTTTAATTAAAGCAGACAGTTAGCTGTCCTGAAGCATTCCCTCCATAGTTGAAGATGGGTTGTGAAATACAGAAACCTGGAAATGGAATTAATATTTTTTATTGTTCTCAGCTGCTTCCCAAATGAGATTATTAAAAAAAATAAACACATTTGGAAGAATTAAAAAGATTAAATAACATTGATGAATTTTTAGGCATTCCTGTGTCAGATTTTTTTTTCTAGCTGTAAATCAATAGGACATAGTTAGACATAAGGCATTTGTGCTTACTATGTAGGTTTTCTAAATTATAAGTAGAAAGAAAGAACTAATGCTTGATTTATTGTACTGTTCACTGATCTACTTCTCTATGAATAGGGATTAATACTTTGTGCATGGAAATCATGGCTGTGTAATAGCTGTGCTTCCTCAGGCATAATCAAAGTAATGTTGTATGTAATTTCTCCAGCATCAAATCATAGGCTATATAAAAAGTGGTGGGCCATGTCAGGATTGTCTTAGCTAGGTACCATGAACCCCACTGTGTTCTTAACATTTGAATATTTGTATTGAGTAATCTCTCCTATAGATTCCTGTTATATTTATTTGTGCATCTTTCACAAATCTTATAGAACACACTGAGCTCCCCAATAATTATGCATTATGGTTATTTGTTTTTAACATCTGAAAAAAATATAAATTGATGTTCATTTCTCCAGTAACCCTTTGTTATTTTCCTGTTCCCCCTCCCGTTTCTCACATTTATTCCAATGCCATTTTTCCAGATTAAGGTGAAAAATAACTATCCAAGCCTAATTGGCTGCAATGGAATATATTTAGTGATATACTTCCCTAAACATTTTTGCAAATACCTCTACTTCTGAAAAGAGCTGACAATGACAGGCCTGATGTATGATCTATGTAGCCCTAATAATAGTAAAAGAACACAAAATGTATGTATTAAAATAATTAAATAGCTGCAGTGATTGGCCTCAGTATATTTGCAAACATAACAGTTGAAGTGTGAAAACTTACACTGTACATTTAGCAATATCTCATATTAGTTATACTTCCTTCTAATACAAGCAGTCCTTGATTTAGAACAATTCTTTTAGTAACCATTTGAAGTTACAACAGTATTGAATAAGTGATTTATGACCACTTTTTTACACTTACAACCATTGCATCATCTCTATGGTCACATGATCAAAATTCAGATGCTTGCCAACTGACCCATATTTATGATGGTTGCAGGGCCCCAGGGTCATGTGATCCCCTTTTCAACCTTGTGAGAAGCAAGGTTATTGGGGAGCCAGATTGACTTAACAACCAGGTTAACTGTGTAACTTAAGAACTGCAGTGATTCATTTAACAATTGTGGCAAGAAAGATCTTAAAACTCACTTAACAACAGAAATTTCTGGCTTAATAGCAGAAATGTGGGCTCATTGTGGTTGTAAGTCAAAGACTACCTGTACTTTTAAATAAAGAAAGAATACGTAAGGCATTCTTCATTAGTGCTGGGAATACATCCATTCTAGGGCCTTTGATCAATACATTTAGGCAGCTTTCAGAGAGATGAAAGACTTGAACACTTAAATGATACCAATAGCATTTAGGTTTATATACCATCCAATAATACACCCCGAACAATCTAGATCCTCATTTTACCGACCTCAGAAGTAGGGAAGGCTGAGTCAACCTTGACCTTGATTAGTTCAGGTTTGAACTCCTGCCTGTGGGCAGAGTTTGCTTGCAATACTATACTTTAAACACTCTGCCGTAGGAGCTTTTAAATGATAAACTGGATGCAACCACTGAGAAGGTATTAGAAGGCATTCTTTATGCTCCTTTTGCTTTTTAAATTGAGTAGAGGTTAGCCATTGCAGTTCTTTTTGGTTTATTTGTCTTATGCCTTCTCTTACGTTCATTCTCTGCTTATGTTGCATGGGCCCTCTTGGGAAAGAACCTAACTACCAATCACACAGAATGTTATCTGATTATTTCCTGACAGCCTGATGATGTTTTCGAAGCATTTTGTCCTTTTTGTTTCTCAGTGATTTATGCAATTTGAGATTTACCTTAAGATAGCAAATGAGTGCATACAATATATAGTAAACTTAAGCCACAGTTCTACCACCAATTTATCTTTTGGAAAACTTTTAGACAATATTTATCTCAATATTTATACTTATATATAATTCCAAAAAGTTTACTAGATCAAATCTGTGCAATCATTTTACATGTTTTAATACCATAGGCAAATTCATAGTATTTTCCCAGCAAATTTATGAATTAAGATATAGAAAGTCCATAAAAAGTTAAGGTTTATTCACATAACCCAATTTTAACTATTTTGATAGATGGTACATTTTTAAAAACCATGGATAAAAGTCATTTATAGTTGGGACCCTAAGGTTTAATTACAAATATTGGACATTAGAAAATTCAAATAAATAAATTGTCATTAAGTTATGTCCACCGTTTCAAGATGTATATGCTTTAAAAAATGAAAACAGTCTTTGATTCTTGATCTTTTACACTATTCCTTGATCATGCTATTTTTCCGCATGAAATTAAATTTATTCATTATAAGAAATGAAAAGGAAGAGGATTAGAGATTTATGTAAACTAGCTGCCACATGAACTTAGTTGGCTTAAAGAATTGAAGACGTCCACTCAACCAAATGTATTTTTAAGCACCTTTTTGTGTTTGAATCTAAAGCCCTAATGAAAAACCTGTCACCACTGATTGTATTTGGAAGAGAAAAGGATTGAAGTCTTAGATGAAAGAAGTTCAAAGGTTTTTCATAACCTACCATGTTTTATCAGATACAACCAGTTATAATACTAGAAGAATATATAATGTACTGTATATCATCTTTAATTCAAATCTAAGGAATCTTTTTATAATATCTAATATTATGTAAGTTTCTTATAAGATACTAGTAAGATACAGGAGATTTTCTTCAAAATCTTTGAGATAATTATTTCAGTATTGAACTTGATGAATTATATGAAAATTCTTTGTGATAAGGCATTTTGTTTAAATCTGTTTTAGCAAACATACAATGCCATGATCCATATTACACATCCACTAAAATTAGTTCTCTAAATAGTAATATTTTAAAATGGTTGTGGTGGAATAGTAGGCAAACTAGTACATAGCTTTCTTTTCTTTTTTTTAGAAATCAAAATAGTGAAACATATGTTTGTTGAACAAATTGTATAAATTGATGCCAGGTAAAATAAATTAAATAATTTTCTGTTCTTAACTGCTATATTTATTCCACACACAAAAACCAATCACAAAATCTTTTGCATCTTTTATATTGAGAAATTGCTTACTGAGATATAACACAACAACAAAGAAGTTTGTAGTATCCTATGGATAGTATAATTTTCTTTGGATGTGGTCACAATCTCCTATCTATATTATTAAGGATTTTTCTTATCAGCTACTTTTTCTTCATCTGTCTCGGTTAAAGTGTGGGTAAAAATAATTGAAAATTGATATTTTAATGTTTTTCCAATTATGGCTCAGCGGCTAAGATGCTGAGTTGTTGATCAGAAAAGTTGGCAGTTTGGTGATTCAAATCCCTAGCACCACATAATGGAGTGAGCTCCCATTATTTGTCCCAGCTTCTGCCAACCTAGCAGTTAGGAAGCATGTAAAAATGCAAGTAGAAAAAATAGGAACTACCTTTGGTGGGAAGGTAACAGCATCTGTGCGCCCTCAGTGTTTAGTCATGCCAGCCACATAACCACGGAGACATCTTTGGACAGCGTTGGGTCTTTGGCTTTGAAATGGAGATGAGCACGCCTCCTAGAGTCAGAAACGATTAGCACATATGTGCAAGGGGAACCTTTACCTTTATTTCCTTTTATTTGTGAATGTATATATCACAAGTTTCTGTTCTGTTCTTTTATTTATTTATTTGCATCTTGCCCTTGTTATTTTTACAAATAACTCAAGGTGGAGAACATACTGAATACTCCTTCCTCCAATTTTCCCCAAAATAACCCTGTGAGGTGGATTGAGTTGTGTTGAGAGAGAGGGACTGGCCCAACATTCCCCAGCTGGCTTTCACAGCTACGGCGGGATCTGAATTCATGGTCTTCCACTTTCTAGTTTGGTGCCTTAACCACTAAACCAAACTGGCTCGCTTATTTTTTGCTTTCATTCCAGTTAATTTCTTTGTATAATTGCAAGTATTCAGGGTGATTTAAAAAGGGAGAAAGAGAAAAAATGTTTATACGTTCGTTGAGTGGCATTGAACTGACCTATAAAGTTCAATGCAAAGTTTTGATGTTGTCTGAGCTTGGTTGTTTGTTTGCAGGCATTTCAT